GTAAAGTACAAATTGGTTGTTATTAATGTAGTTATCTTGGGAAAGCACCATAAAAGAAACAGTGTCTTTAAATAGTCAGCATAAGGAAAACCAAAGCAAAAAACACATAAATGGGCCTGTCAGGCAGAACTTGATATATACCCACTATTAGTACCAGTACTATTAAAACATAATTGATTACAAGTCCTATATAGCTTACACGACAAATGTCATTTTTGAACATGCTTTTGTAGCAAATATCAATATTTCTGGTCAAAATGTGGATTGGGTTAAATAAAACAAACTTTTTAAAAAGTAAACACCAATAAATGTATTGAATCCACTGTAAATAAAGTTCTGCCCAAATGTCAAAATATATGTTCACAGATTCATTAAGGGATTCCCGTTTATCTAACAGTAAATCTTACACAAGATCATCCAAACACAGCTGCCAGATCTCTCAATCCACATTTCATCTTTCTCTACGAAAGCTGCTGGCCGAACGACTGATTCTGATTTTGTGTGATAGTTGTTGACATCCTGTAGGCTGGCGCCAGCACTCTCAGAGTTGCAGAGTAGTTCTTTCTGAAACCAGTTTAGACTTCAGATAAAATAATATCCATTTACTTCAATGAAAGTAGTGAATTATTAGTTGCCAAGAGTTATCTCTGTTTCATTTTACGGACGCTTCATCTCTCAATCTTACTCCTGGTTGTCTTACCAGCAGTATCTCGTGCTGATACCTGGGGTGTGACGTGGACACTTTCAAATGCCACTTTATGTCACGCCGTTGTCGAGGGAAGACATTCTTTCTTCCTCGACTCATCAGTTCATGTTGATGTGATTTATATATTTTTACAGGTATGTACCCTTGTCTATCTACTTTCTTTATGGAAATCTAGTCAATAGAATAGGTAACGCGATTGTAGAAACTAAATCATTAATGTTGTAAATTGTGAATATCATACTCGGTCAAAAGACATCGCGTTGCACGAGATTACTAATTCAAACACTAAGTTTAAAGCACCATCCTGTAAGTAAGATTGTGAGTGAAAGATCTGGTTAAGTTCCATTTGTTTATCATGTATATATATTTTATTATTACATAAAAGATCATAAAAATGTTACTTTGTTTATAATGTGGTGACGTCACACATAACGTGTGCCGCCGAAAACATTTATTGCTGCATTTATAGTATATAAAGTAACAGCGTTTGAATATTATATTGTGCCATGCTATGCAACGTAATCAAATGCGACTTTATGTCACGCCATTGTCGAGGCTAGACATTCTTTCTTCCTCGACTCATTAATTCATGTTGATGTGATTTATATATTTTTACAGGTAATAAATCCTTTTATACCTCATCCCCAACGCCTCAGTTCCCTCAATTACATCGTTGGCAGAACCCGCGACACAAGTGTTAATGGAAGTGGTTTGTAGTTGTTTGGTAACAAAGGCTTACCCTTCTTATAAATTGCCTGAATTACACCCCATTTAACCAACCATTCTTTTGGTGTCTTACCAGTATGGGATATTATTTTGAAGAATTTAAGCTAAACAGTCATCTTTTCGCCTGATAATGGCGACGGGCCGACCAATTTTAACTCATTCGCTTTCAGCTTGACCAAAGCCGATCTGGCGAGGTTCCTAGCGGTCGGACGGGCGCTCGTCCGAGTAATTGGACACAAGCCGGGAAGGGTGCCTCCCTCGCCGGGTGTCCCCGGCGAAAATCCGTCTTTGTCCGGCGCATGCGCACACGTGGTTTGGGGCTACGTGAAAAGCAAATGTTTCCCCAGGGACTTTCTCTCTCTCTCTCTCTCTCTCTCTCTCTCTCTCTCTCTCTCTCTCTCTCTCTCTCTCTCTCTCTCTCTCTCTCTCTCTCTCTCTCGGTGGTACATGAGTTGTACAACAACAAAAACTACACTACTAGATGTACAGCTTGATGACATATATTGTAGCATACGTCACAGTATAGCATTCAAATGTCTGAGGACCTTTGAGAGTTTTTTTAAAGTACCTACTTTACCATTTGTGAACAGTTTACGATATCTACTTATGTTTAGCCAGTGTGTGTAGTATTCATTAACTCATTCAGTGTGTAAGGTTAAAGATGAAGTCTACATTGACACTACATGCTCAACCTGTCTACAAGGACACTACATTCTCAACCTATTGACATGAACACTACATCCCTGATTGGTCGAAACGCCGTTGTGCTTTCTCTCCCATGGTACAAGCCTGACCCTATGGTAAAGAAACACAGCGGGTGTGCCACACGGGGTGCCGTGTGGGACAGAAACCATCCAATGAGAAGGTCGGGTTCTTCACCAATGAGAAGGCTGGATTTTCCACCAATCAGGAAGCAGGGATTCAGTGCCTTTAAAAACGACAGACGTTCTCTTGGCATCACTTTTCACTGAACTTTCCAGGCAACAGCATCATGCTCCGCTGGGAAAACTACTACTACTACCTCCTCAAAGAGATGAAAGCGGAACAGAAGTTGGGAGGAGACTAACCATGGAGTTCGAGGCTGTTCTAAACCATGAACATCAAAGTCTGATGACCGATGCCGGGCGTCTTGAAATGGAGGACATCATCGAGGATCAGTTAGTTCTGCATACCCTGATGCTGAGATCGAGTGCCTTGCACGCAGTTTTCCATGCCGCGATAGGTGAGAAGGTAGAGACAGTCGTGGGGACATTGCCTCCGGGGTATGCCATTTGGATCCCCACCATGGGACCACTTGTGGAAAAGGAAAGGAAACACCTGCAGCAGCAGCGGCAGCAACAACACCCACAGCAGCAGCGACTACAGCAGCATCCACAGCAACAACACTCGCAGCAGCAGAGGCACCAGAAGCAACACCCTCACTAGCAGCAGAAGCAGTAGCAGCACTCGTCGTGGCACTAACCGCAGTGGCAGCACTCACAGCAGCAGAGGCAGCAGCAGCAGCAACAACACCCGCAGCAGCAGCACCAACACCCGCAGCAGCAGAAGCAGCAGCAGCAGCAACACTCGTCCCAGCAGTACACTCAGCACCATTCACCATTGATTGCACCATTTATCATCAGGATCAGCAACAGCAGCACTATCATCACCACCAGCATCATCGAGCAGACCTGTGACGATGATTGTAGCCCGCTTTGACATTGTTTCTCATTGTACCCATTGTATCTAAGTTGAAGTTGTTATTGTTCATCATTAAACAGTGATTAAACAGTGTCTGTCTGTGCGCATGCTCGTTGAAAAAATAGATAAAAAGAGTCAGGCCATGCTTGCAAGGCTCAGTTGCCTAGTGTCATCAGTCACCCCGAACATAGGATAGAGTCTTATCACATCGTCAGTGACATGTAAGACGTCATGGAGTCCACATCGTGTTCAGACTGTGGCGAGACATTTTCTAGAAGAGAGGAGAGGAGACTTCATTAAAGCAGGCGAACCCGCTGGCCCTTCCTTCAGTTGAGTCACAGACATCATAGGGCAATGACGGTCTATGAATGCCATGCCACAATCCCAAGATGTGCCCGATACCGAGTAGGTGTCTGAAAAGGTGAGAGAACACTCTTAATGGACGACACATGGCAACTCGATGACAATCTGGAGGCACGACCTTCTCCTTCTACACCTTTAGTCATCCTTCTCATCCTGGCTATGAATCATTTCAACAACGTCTAAAGTCTTTTCAAACGTGGCCTTAACAGATGGGGCAGATCCCTTATGACATTACCATGACTGGCTATTTCTATCAAGGACGAGGTGATCGTGTTATCTGTTATTGCTGCGGTGTGACACTCTGCCAATGTGAAGCCACAGACCAACCCTGGAAAGAACATCTGAAGCACGCAAAAGTCCCCTGTGAATACTTGTGTGTGTTTTGTCCTGATGGAGAAGTGAATACAGACGTCTGTTGTCCGAAGAAGCATGGAAGAGAAGAGCAGAGTGTCTTGTTGAAAAGAAAAATGGTTTAAAGGTCAGTCCTCATCAGACATTCAACCTGACAAGGTGTCCTTCAAGGCAGAGTAAGGGAGGAACATCCATCCATCCATCATGATGATGCGCAAAGCACCAATAGCGTGTTCTGCTTTCATTGCGGCGTGCGACTGAGAAGATGGGCGGCCCACGACGATCCTTGGGTGGAACACCACAAGCGGTCCCCTCACTGCGCTACCTCAAGCTGACGGGGGTGGTGAAACACAAGAACGTGGCAGCTACTTTCTTGCACTATCTGTGTGAGAATCAGATCTACCAGGAGCCTGCGAATCAGAGCAACGCGAATGATGTAGCATGGCCGCCTTCCCAGGATGACGTTTCCGTTCCCGTTTCCCGTTCCTGTTTCCCGTTTCCGTTTTTTTATCTTCTTCTTCTTCTCCAAACGGTCCTTTTCAAGGCCACCAATCTCTTCCGAAAGAGCATAATTGCTTTAACTGCCCTCTCCACCACCACCACCACAAAAACAAAACAAAGAACCCTCCTCCTCCCTCCTCCCTCTTTCCTCATCCCTCTTGCAGGGGGGATGCCCTCCCCGGAACCGGAAGTGCTGCCCTCTTGGAGACGCACGCCTCCCGGAACCGGAAGTGCCGCCCTCTTGGATGCGTACGCCTCCCGGAACCGAAAGTGCCGCCCTCTTGGAGGCGCATGCCTCCCGGAACCGGACGTTCCGCCCTCTTGGAGGCGCACGCCTCCCGGAACCGGAAGTGCCGCCATCTTGGATCTTCCGGCAGCCAGAAATTCGGCGGATCCAAGATGGCGGCACTTCCGGCTATCAGGGTACTGCCTACAACTACTGACAGTCACCAGATAAATGACTGATTTTGACAAAATGCTTACAGATTAAATTCGATTCTTTGCCTCATATCTTTGTCTCTGCCCTTTTTAGCTTTTCCTTATGGAGGAGAATTTGCGGTAGGCATTGCTTATCCTGGATCCTGGATTAACACATCAAGCAAACATAATTTTGTTGAGAAAAACGGCGATGCTCTTTAAATAAGACAGCAGCAAATCTGAAAGAAAAAGAAATGTTGAAACGATTTCAATGTGATACATACATATGTTTTGTTTTAATGTTTATATCCACCAGACAACATATTGTTAGATTGTTTCGTACTTGCCTGAGTGACCCTTTCAGACAGAAATGACTGTATCAATCTTAACATGTTACCTTTTGTACCAAGCTTTTGCAATTAGATTAGCAACCCTTGTCGCCAAATCATATCGTAAGCCTTTTCAATATCAAGAAGGACGCACAACATGTACTCCTGACATAAATGTAACAATGCCGAGCCCCACATGAGCCAAACTGCCAAAGCTATGTGAGATATGTTATACTTCAGTGATTTGTCTTTAAAAAAATAACGGCATATGATTTGTAAGCACTTCTATGATTGGCATGTGGATGTGAACACCAGGGTGAGGGCGGTGCTCACTACCATATCACCAGTCACTACTTGTGTTGTTCAATGTCTCTAAAGAGCGCACAAAGACGTAAACGGGGAAAATGTACAGTTCACGTTGGATAACATACACTGGTTTTGACCAGGACACCAAATACATTGTTCCTTGATGTTTCAAAATGAAAACGTTCAAAGTGATTCATACGATTGTCGGACAAATAAGCACTAAGTTATTGACACAATGCCAAAGTGATCTTTCATTGATTACCTTCTCTTGTCCGTTAAAGGCAAGTGTATTTCGGCAATTGCAACGAAATCCAAAGCATCAACTCAACAGGTGACGATTTGGAAACCAAAGTGAAGTTTTCGATTAACATTATTTCGTTTGATGTCATTGACCAAGGTATGTATCGTACAACATATAGCTTAACCTTGAGAATCGGGACCTAACTGAATTTTTCAAACAGAAATTTGCCTATTCTCTAAAACAAGTGTTTAAAAGTCTTAACAATCCATATGCATTTGTCAACCAAAAAACTAGAGAATACCTGGCGGTTTCATTTGCTCTTACATACCGTCCACAATTGGTACCATATATTGTCACTAAAACCCTGATATGTTAGATCCTGATATCTATATGTTTGATTGATGTAAATCATTGCCTCGTATGTTGCACCATTAAGTGGGTATTAGATGTGTCATGATGCACACTGGTATACAGTGAACATTGTAATGAAGACCAATGTTCACGTCAACCTTCATATATTCTAAAACTAGTCAACATACTAAGCGTCGCTAATTCAACTTTGAAAGCTTAATATAACTTCAATCTGGTGTCAGAGCATTGTGGACGTACCACGTATTGTGTATTGGGCTGCCAAGTCCACGTTCTGCGATACGTTCTTCGATACGTTCTTGTATCTGAACAACCTGAATGAAATGGTATTAGTGTAGGAAAATGAAATTGTTGGTCGTTCCTAAATTTGGTCTTTTCCTGAAAGATTGTGAGACATTTTGGGAAATGATTTTCGTCTGAAAGTGTTACTAAAATTTAAGGTATCAATGTCCTTGGTTGCAAATTTCAATTCAAGTACATGCGGTCATTGTCTGATTTAGTCGAGTCTGTTTCTGGCTTGGTCAAACGTTGCAAAACAATATCAAACACTATATCTGCAGCACCCAAGGGATTTCTGTAGACAACAACGTCTGTTCATATATACTTATAGCTGTACCCTGCTAGGTACTCCAGTAGACAACAACGTCTGTTATATATACTTATAGCTGTACCATGCTAGGGATTCCTGTAGACAACAACGTCTGTTCATATAACTTATAGCTGTACCATGCTAGGGATTCCTGTAGACAACAACGTCTGTTCATAGGATAGAGAGCATCGACACAGGGTACAGGGAGCAGGATAGAAAGCATGGACACATAGTACAGGGAGCAGGATAGAGAGCAGGGTACAGGGAGCAGGGTACAGGGAGCAGGATAGAGAGCATGGACACAGGGTACCAGGAGCAGCATAGAGAGCATCGACACAGGGTACCAGGAGCAGGATAGAGAGCATGGACACAGGGTACAGGGAGCAGGGTACCAGGAGCAGGATAGAGAGCATGGACACATGGTACCGGGAGCAGGATAGAGAGCATGGACACAGGGTACCAGGAGCAGGGTACCAGGAGCAGGATAGAGAGCATGTACACATGGTACCAGGAGCAGGATAGAGAGCATCGACACAGGGTACCAGGAGCAGGATAGAGAGCATCGACACAGGGTACCAGGAGCAGGATAGAGAGCATGGACACAGGGTACAGGGAGCAGGATAGAGAGCATGGACACAGGGTACAGGGAGCAGGGTACCAGGAGCAGGATAGAGAGCATGTACACATGGTACAGGGAGCAAGATAGAGAGCATGGACACAGGGTACAGGGAGCAGGATAGAGAGCATGGACACAGGGTACAGGGAGCAGGGTACAGGGAGCAGGATAGAGAGCATTGACACAGGGTACCAGGAGCGGGATAGAGAGCATGGACACAGGGTACCAGAGCAGGATAGAGAGCATGTACACAGGGTACAGGGAGCAGGGTACCAGGAGCAGGATAGAGAGCTTTGACACAGGGTACAGGGAGCAGGATAGAGAGCATGGACACAGGGTACAGGGAGCAGGATAGAGAGCATGGACACAGGGAGCAGGATAGAGAGCATGTACACAGGGTACAGGGAGCAGGAGAGAGAGCATCGACACAGGGTACCAGGAGCAGGATAGAGAGCATGTACACAGGGTACAGGGAGCAGGATAGAGAGCATGGACACAGGGTACAGGGAGCAGGGTACAGGGAGCAGGATAGAGAGCTTTGACACAGGGAGCAGGATAGAGAGCATGGACACAGGGTACAGGGAGCAGGGTACAGGGAGCAGGATAGAGAGCTTTGACACAGGGAGCAGGATAGAGAGCATGTACACAGGGTACAGGGAGCAGGAGAGAGAGCATGGACACAGGGTACAGGGAGCAGGAGAGAGAGCATGGACACAGGGTACAGGGAGCAGGGTACAGGGAGCAAGAATAGAGAGCATGGACACATGGTACCGGGAGCAGGATAGAGAGCATGGACACAGGGTACAGGGAGCAGGGTACAGGGAGCAGGATAGAGAGCTTTGACACAGAGTACAGGGAGCAGGATAGAGAGCATGGACACCGGACGCAAGGCAACCAACACATGGTACAGGATA